AGCTGATAGTCTGGAGCCAAACTTGAGCCTGCTGCTGGCATGGGTTCCTCTGACTTTTCAGGGGAGATTGACTTCTTGCCCTCTTGTTGTCGCCTCCCAGGGGAAAGGGGGCCGTGGTCAGAAGGGTGCCTTCCCCCCCCACCCTCCCCCACCCCCCGGCACCCAGACCTAGCTGTCGCTGACCTGAATGCCAGGCTTCCTGGTAGAGTCATCAGGCACACCTACAAATCACCTGGCTCCTCATCTACAATCTTTTATGATGCTAAGCCCCACATTGGAATTAAAGGAAACACTATTGACAATTATAAAATACTAAATATAGCTTAGTACATTTAAAAATGAACAATGGTAAAAGCCTTGAAAATTTTTTCTTTGATGTGAATGGAGTCTTTGGCATTTGGAAATACAATAAGATGAATTAATTGCTACTCATTACATGGGAAGTCAGGAGAAGTATGAATGTGCCTTTCCTCCTTGGCAATAGCTGTTGTCCGACCGAAATACCCCCTTTTGTATTTACTCCTGCTTTCTCTAATAATAAGCAAATTAGAGATCATGGCTAGAAAAATTCAAGTGCCCTCCATCTTTTCTCCCAAACCATCATAGAGTTTTGTGATGTTTATCTGCTCAGGGGCTAGCGCTAATAATTGCAGAGGTCATGTGAATCCACATAGTGCAAGATGAGAAACAACATCTGCAAGATGACTTTTTTGGAAGAGTATTCTGTGTTTTGTCTTTTTCTGAAAAAGTGATTTTGCAAGCAAATTGCTATCTTTCCTCTCTTGTATTATATTTTTGTATTGCTGGGGAAAGTATATTTGGGGAAACACATTTAAAGGCTATCCAGAGTTTTTGAATCCATAGTCTTTTTTTCAACGTTATGTATTTTTCATGATGTATTGGTGGACTTCCCCATAAATAAAGTAGACTGGAGTCTTTACATGTTAAATTGATGGCTCCTGAGCAAGCTTTTTGGAGTATGTTGATGTAGTTTGCTGTTCATTAACATTCCAGATGTAACAGCTATAATATGGTACACGCAAGCTCATGAACCTTTTAATATTCCCTTTAAAATTTGTTGATGGTTAGTGCCGGAAGATGATGAGATAGTTGATTCCTCGGGATAATCAAAGGCCGAGGAGGCAGAGGGAGGTGGGAATAAGACTCCCGTCCAGTCTGGAGGCTGATTTCATAAAATGTCCTGGAGTTTGAGACCCACACTGCTCCAGCCATGTGCATTTCTGATATGGCTGCCTTCCTGTCACGTATATTCCATGTAAACACTTCCCAAACATGGTGCACATTTAAACGGTAACGAGGAGGAGTCTGCGGAGCCCAGAGGGGTAGCAGCCGCCGTGCTCTGCTTCATGAAATATGAAAGCCTGTTTACTAAGTGACAATAACCATTTGAAAGGTTTCGGGCTGAGGAGTTTATGCGTGACACAGCCTGCTGGACCCCGTGTGGCTGAGGTGGGGAGGCCATTGACAGCATGGTGTGCCAGAAATTGGACAGGGAAGAAAGGCAAGTGGGCGCTGAGACCTGCGTCCCTAGGTATAGTGCTTTATCAGCTTCGTCCTCAGGTCAGACGGGCCATTTGTTCTTAGCAACCCCCCATGTTTCCTGCCCCATAAATATTTTTCCACATTTCAGGTCATGGGCTTGAGTTAGAGTTCTGTTGTAAAAGGGAGATTTGCCTTTTCTTTCCCCACTCGCCAAACATTCAGCTTTTTGTGGCCTCTTTCTTTGTCATCTTAGGGATGGAGGGACTTCAGATCAGTATTGAGGACTCCGTGTGAAGTTGTCCAGGCTTTTTGCTAGGACACGGCGTTCTTGTTCATGCATGCTCGTGTAGAGACATACACACACTGAGAGTATTTCCCGTAATCTAAGACGTCATAGGCGGTAACTCAGTATTGACTTCATAACAGTTTTTCAAGATAAGACAGTGTGCTCAACCTTTGTAAATCTCATCCGCGTTTCAGAAGTGTTGGTGTGAAAACCTCTTAGAATAAAATTATTCTGGTGTACAAATGCAGCCTAGATTTTTAAATTTACCTTAGCATCAGTTATTTGGGTAGATTAACAACTACTTCCTTTCCCCCTTGATTCCGGGGTGAGCAGCAAGAATGGAGTGCAATGTCTCAAAGACCAGCATCTCAGACCAGAGAGACACAGAGAAGCAATCTCCTCGGGTCTGACACCTAGAGTTATAATTTCTTCAAAGCCAGGCGTATATCTCTGGGCTGAAAATGACAATTTAGAGGCCCTTCCGTTGAAGTCTCTCAGCTTGGCATCCTTCCGTTCTCCCATTTCAGATTAAGTGGGTCTACAGCGAGGCTCTCGGTTCCGATCTCGAGATATCGCCGGCAGGCCTTATTTGCAGCGTTGCTTTAGATTTTAAACACAAAATTTTAATCTTTTTAATTTTCAAATATGTATTTTAGATAAAGGGGGAGATGTTACTAAATGAGAAGGTAGAGTGTCTCCACTTCAAAAGGTAGGAAATCATGGGTATAGACGTTTTAGTTCATTTGCATAAAATTGCCTATTCTCAGATAGCTAGGTCAAGTGCAGAAAGAACTTTCTACTTGAGATAAAATTTCCTCTCCACACTTGGCTTTCTCTCTGTTAGGATAGACAGCCAAGAGCTGCCCAAATTTTAACATCTTGCTGTCTTTTCACCAGTTCTTTCGGGCTATGTTTATTAAGATGTATTTGCTTATAAATGGAATGCACACTGGTAGCAGCAGATACTTTCAGAGCCAGAGGGCTTTAGGGCATCAAATGCAACCCTTTATTTCGTAGATGAAGAAAGTTAGAGGGTTAAATGACTAACCCAAGGTAATGAAGCCCATTAACATCAGGCCTAGGCAGGTGTGGAGCTGCATCTCCAGACTCCCCTTTACGGGGATGGAGCATGTTGGGGAGACAGGAGTGACTGATTTGCTCTCCTGCTTTTGAGTATCTGTTTCATTCAGGTACCTCCTGGGTCATAAGAGTCCGACCTGACTTTATTTAGCAAAAGGAAATGGCCCTGTCCCGAAGCTGGGTGACCTAAAGAGCAAAGCTGGTGACTTTTCTCCTTTCCTCGTTGATTGATTTCCTTGTTTAAAAAGAAAAAAAAAAGTATCAAACTTTCGTGAGCATCTTCAAGAACTTTTCCATCAGCCTAGCATAGGGGAGCATCTCCAGCACCTCTGATAGAATAAAAGCAGGCTTTGGAGATGTGGGGGACTCCTTTCCATTCGGATCCCGACTTTGGATTCTTGAGTCCCTCCCCCTGAGGGTGCACAGACACTGTGTCTGGGGGAGCCGGGTCACGCCCGCCATCAGTGTTTCATGAACATGGAGGCCCCTGATGGACTTCTGGAATAGAGCCAAGCCCACAGCTCTTTGCCTAGTTATTCCTCAATTTGCATCAGCCAGACCAGCAAGAAGACTGGGCTGTCACTGTCCCAGCTCCCCGAGCCTGGCCCCTGGCAAAGTGGTAAGGCTTGTTCCTTGTGGTGGATGGCTCCTGTGGTTATACCTGTAATGTTACGTTCGCTCAGAAGTCATCTGAGGGCATTTATAACCTCTCATTAGGGGTTAGGTGGCTTGGGGGCTGGAGTACAAGGTGCTGGATCCAAAAAGAACCCCTCGGTGAGTTTGTATTGATGTCAAGGCACTCGTGACAGAGAAGGGTGTTGTGGGACTGGAGCTGGGTTTTCTGTTCATTAGCCTGGGACCCCTCTGCGGGGATGATGAGGCAGGTGGCAGGTGCAACCACAAGACCAGCGAGGAGTAGATTGACTGGCGCTGAGATCTGTGTGTGTCAGGTTCTGTTTGGCTTTAGGGCATTTGCACACCTAGTCAGTTTATTCCACTGACATCAAGATTTGTCTTTTTTGGGCATCTCAGTATCTGAAATGATTCAGCTCGTTTAAAAAAAAAAAAAAAGCAAAAGCAAAAACTTTAACAGAGGAAGCTAGCTTTAGGTAGAGCATTTAGATGAGCAAATGGGGGCTCAGCTCAAGGAATGCCGTCTGACCCGAGGCAGCAAAGCCCCACACTAGCGCCTGGAGCCATTCTGTTGGGGATGAGGGATCCTGCAGGCTTCTTGGGCCTTCACCGTGTTCTTAAGCCGTAGCATGTGCCCTTCAAGACGATCCCAATGACCACGGACAACCCCCAAAAGCTGTCACATGAGGCCCATTACTTTGTCAGTTGAGAGCCAGAGAAATGGATAAAATGTACAGTTCTATGCAAGTGTTAGGCTCTTTTCCAAGGGGTAATGTAAGCTTTTTGAAAATTCACATGGTGTTCCTGGCAGTTATGGGACCAAGTGGTGTTTCTACCTTGGGAGCACTTAACTTGATCTTTTTTAGAAGTCCCTAGTAGTTATTTTGTAGGCTTGGATTTTTTTTTTTTTCAACTTCTCCCTTCGGCCCAGCCTCTGGTACCTCAGGATGCTTATGAGTCACCTTTGGGTAAATCCGCACACACTGAAGCCAACTCCCAGCTGTGTCTTAGCCTGAACTTTCCCTTGACCTTCACGCACTGACTCTGAGTCGTAGCTGTGGCGGCCACTCTCTTTGCTTTGGGGCCACCATTTTGTTCCTGTTCCGATGGAGTCTGGCCTGGGAGAGATTGTAGAGACCTTCCGTGAGCAGCCAGGCACCTTGACATGTTTACCACGCATGAATCTCTGCCTGCACCATCAGGATCTGTCACACACCTGGGGGCTGACCGTTTCTCCATCTACACCGGGGAGGCCACAGAACCAGCTCGAAGGGGCTGGGAGTAGTTTTTGAAATGGGTGGACTGGTTGGTAATTGCCTTTCTAGATGGTTATCTGGGTCATACATTCCTGTTAAAATGTGAAAAAGACCCAGAGTCCTATGCATTCTATGTACTCCACATTGTGTGTTTGTGTAAATATGTGTATTTTTTAAGTGAAGAAAAATACCTCTCCCTTTGTCCGCAATTCTTTTAACAAACTGTTTATTGTTGTATCCAGGTAACAAGCATGGTAAGTATTTTCACCACATTGAGTATTCTGTATTTTAGCTGTGCTTGGCAGACTTTTTGGCTAGCTTTGTGTTACCAGCCTTGGCTTTTCTAGAAAAGACCCATTTAGGAAAGGGAGAAACCACTTGCCGAGTAGCGTCCCCTGTGTCCTTGGCTATAGAGAGAACCCGTGTAGCCTTAGACCTCCATGGTGGGGGTACCTGAGAAAGCATGCGCCCCCGCCAGCATGCTGCTTGGCCCCGTCATGGCCCCCCACCCGCCCTGCTGCTTCTGAGCTTCCCCACCAGGTGTCTGCCAGGGCTCCCGGGCCTCGCATGCCTCCAGCAGCTCCTGGGACTGTGGCCCCGTGACAGCGCCCACAGATGGGGCCTGCCCACACCCTGTGGACGGTCCTACCCCAGATCCACCACCCCCTTCTCCTCTCTCCCTCTTCCCATCTGTATGCTTCAGTGCAGGGCCTTTTGGTTTTTTTCCCCCTTTCCTTGAGTGTGTTAAGTAATTGGAGAAACCTCCCTTTGGAAGCTGGAAAAATAAATACATTGTCCACTCTTCTCAGAGGCTTCCCATTCTTTTGAAAAATGGATTAAAACATTTTTTTTAAAAAAATCTTGCCACTGGTAGTCTCCATAAAGGTTCAGAGTTACGGTAGGTTGAGTGTGTTTTAGCCTTTTGGCTGTGTTTATTTATCCGTGCATGTTTGCTTCTCCGGCCTCTTCTGTGGCTCTGTATTTAGTCCATGTGCTCGTGGCTGTGCCTGTTGAAGCTGCCTGGTAGCCGTGTGTTACGTATTAAGTCTGTGTGTCACTGTCACCTTCAAGGATCAGACGGCCAAGGATAAGGCCCTGCAGCACATGGCTGCCATGTCGTCGGCACAGATCGTCTCGGCCACCGCCATTCACAACAAGCTGGGGCTGCCTGGGATTCCACGCCCCACCTTCCCGGGGGCGCCGGGGGTAAGTCACAAGCCCGTCCGGTAGGGGTGGCCCCTACGGGTGAGGGGCCGGCGTGAAGCCATCCACCTGGTGCTTGTTCTTGGGCCTGGTGTGAGGGCGGGGAGGACCACCTGTGGTCAGCTGATGATGCCAGGTGCACAGTGGTGAGAGGGAGGGGGCGGGGAGAGAAAGCTAGAGGCTGGGATCCTGGGCCCCAGCAGAGATGGAATTAGATATCACTTTGCTGGTGCCCTTCTGGGTTGTGATCTGCTTCTTCTGCTTTTTTTTTTTTTTTTCTGGCCCTTGCTCTCTTTTCCTGTGCCTCAAGGTCCCTTTAAGGGAACTAACCCTTAAAGGAGCAAAGTATTCTATTACCATGTTCAGTTTGCGTCTACCAAGGGCTGAGAAGTTAACGTTATAATCTCATTCATCTTCACAATAATCTTAAATGCCTCTCATTGTTATTGCCGTCTTGCAGATGATGAGGTTAGTGAGTAACAAAGCGAGTTAGGTAATGTGATCATGGCTAGTGCCATCAGGACTCAAACCCAGGGCCTTGTGACTCACTCTGCAACCCCTCCTACACAGGCTGCCTGTCCCCAGGGGGTGCCAGGCACCAGAAGCCTCAGGGAGGCGCACAGCAAAGGGGGTGTCTGAATTGCTTCTCGGAGCTCTTGGCCTCTGGTTCAGAGCTTTGTCCTCTCCTGGCCGGGCCCGTGGTGCTGTGAGCTGAGGAGGCAGAATGTCACACAGGGAGCATTTGTGAATGGAGGGAGGAAGAAGAGGATGGGTAGGTGGGTGCATGGATGAAGCAGCCGGATGAAATATTTGTGAGCCCCCTGTCATGTGCCCAGATCCCGGGTAGGTGTCAGGAGAACACGGAAGAGCTGCTGTCTGGTCCCTGCCCTCAGGGCGACTATCTGGAGGAGGAGCTCCGGGGAGGTCTGGGCTGCTAAGCCAAGGATGCAGGTTGCTCTCTGGTGCATATCGGTAACCACATCTGCATCTAGAGAGGGTCACTCAGCAGCGGACGGACGATCTGAGCCCACTGTCTTTAGCAGGGGTTGCAATGTGTAGATGTCCTGAACAGTGCTTTTGTGTGAACTCATAACCCTGATGCCTCTTGCCTTTTGCCTTCCAGTTCTGGCCAGGAATGATACAAACAGGGCAGCCAGGATCCTCACAAGAGTAAGTCTGGGGAGGGGCTAGCCGTCACAGCAAGGGTCTGGTCACAGCACCGCCTGGGTGGCGTTTGCCCAGGACCAGACTGCCTGGGGGCTTGTGGGAGAAAAGAGATTGAATCTGAGATCCCCAAAGTCATCTCCCATCATCCACTGAGGCCAGTAGCAGGAGAGAGACTCGAGTTGGTCTAGGAGAGGCATAAACGGCTCACTGCTGCCTTAAGTGTTAGTGCTCATCCAGCTGGGAACAGGGAGAAGGGCCCCAGGCCTTCGTGGCTTTGCAGGGCTTCCTGAGAAGCCCCTGTCTGAGAGAGGACAGTGGAGGTGCTCCTAGAGCCCGGCGCATCCTGGCTTTCCTGGGGGGTGAGGGCAGCTAATTGACAGTCCTGCTGGTGCTTTGAGGGCAAGGGGAAGCTGAGGATCATCTGGAGATAAAAGCAGAAAGGAAGTCCTGCCCACCTGTTCTCAAAAGAACTGAAGCTGTTCGGCCAAGAGAAGGAGAGCCCGAAGCATGTCCCAAACCTTGCCTGGGAACGGTGACCCCTGACCTCGGTCACCACAGGGACGAGAAGAGAGGTTTGATGAGATGTCACAGCATACGGGAATCAGGCTGATGTCTCTCCAGCTCGTCCCGCTGAAGTGGTGTGAGGCCCGATGGTTTGGTCCCCAGCACCTGCTGGCCCCTCTCAAGCAGAGAGGGTAACTGTCTCTGTCTTGGCAGAGCTCTGCCTGGGCTGTGTCAGCACCTGCAGGCAGGGAACCTTATGGGGGTGGGGCGGGGTGCAGGTTGGGCCCCTAGCCCTGGGAGGCCAAGGCCAAACCTGGGGAGTAGCCACTGCTATAAGTCTTGACTTCTGACTCTCCACCCCTCCCTCCCCAGCGTCAAGCCCTTCGTGCAACAGGCCTACCCCATCCAGCCAGCAGTCACAGCCCCCATTCCAGGTGAGTCTCCAAGGGAGTCCCCCTCGGAGGACCATCCTGCGCAACTGGTGGCTGGGCCCGTCGCTCTGCTCCACAGCGGCCTATCCCTTGTACTTGCAGTGCCTTGAGTGCCCCCTCCTCGTCCCTACTCTCCTTAAGCCTGGAACTCAGAAGGGTCACAGACGTGTTCAGTGCCCCTAGCCAGCTCCCAGGAGTTCTTCAGATGGGTTTTTAAAGGAAAGGGAACCGGCTGGCTCAGTCCATAGAGCATGCCACTTTTGTTCTTGGGGTCGTGAGTTCGAGTCCCACATTGGGCATAGAATTTACTTAAAAAGGGGAGGAAAAAGGATTTGGATATGATAATTATATCTCAATTTAAAAAAAAAAACTGAAAAAAAGGAAAGGGAAGCCTGATCACTTTCACCAAGGACCCTGGTCACCCATGGAAGGGGAAGTAGCTGTGGTTCCTTCCTCATCATAAACAGGCTGAATTGGACAGTTCAGATCTTGAGGGCAGATAGGGGATTAGCCAGCCTTTATAAGTAGGTTTCAGTTCCTCGTACCCTCTCTTTAACGAAGAGCTCCCAGGGAAGCCTCGACTAGCAACCCGGAATCTGGCCAGCCCACCTGCGCTGCCCCCCCCGCCACGTGTGCACGTGGGGTCACTCCGTTGAACTGCTGTCTGTTATTGAGTCCCCCGAAAGGACATGCATTCACATGTTTTGCTCTGTTCCAGTGTCACGGAGCATTCTGAGTAATTCTGTAGTGCTGGTGACCACAGTCTTAAGGAAGGAGATGGGCAAACACAAGAAGTTTCTCGGGGGACCCTTGCAGAATTCACTTGAGGCTCTTCAGCCACTCTGGCCTTGGACCCCAGCCGGCCCCTTGTCCGGGATGGGGTATGCTCCAGCCCTTAACCTGGGCCGAAGTTGACATTGTGAGGAGCCTCCTAGCGTTGTGCCTCTGGGTCCTTGGCCAGAATCCACCCACCGCCTGACTTCATTCTGCCCCTGGACTCTGGTGGAGGGGGGCAGCCGTTTTGCAGGGCCCGGCCCCAGCACTGGCCTCAGGCCCGAGGGGAGGCACGGGGCCTGCTTTAAAGGTGATGATTGGTCTTTCAGGGTTCGAGCCTGCGTCAGCCCCAGCCCCCTCGGTCCCTGCCTGGCAGGGCCGCTCCATTGGCACAACCAAACTTCGCCTGGTGGAATTCTCAGCCTTCCTTGAACAGCAGCGAGACCCAGACTCGGTGAGTGTGCTGTGAGGTGTGCTGTGAATCCCATTCCTGTTCACCTTCACACTCCTCTGCCTTCCTTCTCCTTTCCCCCTCCCTCGTGCCTGCCAAACAACCTGGGTCAGAAGAGCCAGACTTTCACTTAAGTAAAAAAAGGTATTTCTATTGACAAGCAGATAGAATTGTAGAGCCGAATATTTATGAGTGCTCTGGACCTCAAACTCCAGGGAATGCTGGAGCTTGAAGGGAAGGACTTTAACAGGGCTCTTGTGTTTAGGAAAATGTAACAGCAGGTGACAGTTCTTGAACCCTGATATGTGGCTGGCACCGTGGAAAGCTATTTATATATATATGGTCATGCTTTACACCCACAAAAACCCCATAAGGGTCGGTACCGTCGGACAGATGAGGAAACAGAGAGGTTAAGGAATTTCTCTGAAGCCACACAGTTAATATCTGATAGATTGGAGATTCAAATTCATGTCTTTAAAACTCAAGCCTAAGCATTCAGCTGTTGCTCCGTGCTGCCTTTGCAAGTCTGTTTTTGCTCAAGATAGCAAGCAGTTCTCTTCTTACGGAGAAGTAACAAGCTGGTATTTTAGCAGCTCGATACAGAAAACGATACTTTATGACATGAGCACCAGTCACGTTGGCATCTGGACTCTGTCGTTTTTCTTCTTTGCCGTCTTCCCTGCCCCGTCTAGTTTCCATCACGCCATTGTTTCCCAGCCCAACCCATCACTTCCCATACCTCTGTGAGCCCCCCTTCTCTCCCACCCAATAATCCCCAGACCCTTTCTTCACTCCCACTCCTTGGCTGTGCGTCTGTGCATTGCATCTGTGTGTGGGTGAGCCCTAGGCAAAAATGCAGGAATCAGGAGTTTGTCTTCGGGATCCTCAGCAACTCCTTTCCACGTGCTCTCTCTCACCCCACCGCCCTGATCTCCGGGGCTCCCGATGCGCAGAGGTCCCATGCTCTCTGTGTGTTCACTGCTTTGCTGTCGTTCTGTCATCAGGAGAGTGTCATGGATGAGTTCACCATGTGTTGTAAATACCGACATACTGAACAGTCGGAGGCGACCTCTCTGAGGTCTTTGTACTGTAGCTCAGTGGAAAGCCTCTGACTCGGGAGACGCCACAAGCCATCACCAGAGTGGAGACTCAGTGGACCCCTGACATTCCTGTTTATGAATTGTGAACTCTGGGAGTTGGTAGAAAAATAGAGCCTGTTCCAGAATTAGGAGGAAAAAGTGAAGAAAGAGATGGAAAATAGGTCATTAGGCCCATTGAGGCAGCTTATTGGGACGAGGAGGGGAAAGGCCAGCTGGATCGCTCTTCTCGTGTGGCCGAGTGGTTTTATAAGAAGGATGATGGTGATGGCATAAAATGCTTCTCTGTGAGAGGCACTGAGATATAAACAAAAAAGATTACCCTCCTGATTCTTTGTTTCTTGTTCTTTCTGGAAAGCATAGGGGGTTCTTTGGCCGAAGACTGGGTTTCAGCCCAGCAATGCTTTTCGCTTTGCCTAACTCGTGTTGGTAGGATACCTCGTTGCTTACAGAGTACGCTGTAGTTGATATTTCATTGTGTTTTTGTAGTGCTCCATGAGTAGATTCTGTTTCCCCCATTTTACAGATGAAGAAACTGAGGCCCAGACACATTAAACAATTTAGAATGTTTAGCGAATAAGCAGAGGGATCAGGAGCCCAGATCTATTTCATTATATTCTTTTCACTACTATAAACCACCCCCAGTTTTGAAGTTCTCTCTCTCCAGTCTACGTATCTCCTGTGTGAGCCAATCTCTCTCTTTGCTTTTGACCGTTTTTTAAAGAACAGAGCTCTTCCCTGTTTCCCTGGTTAAAAGACGATAGAATATTTTATCACAAAAGTTTTTTGTTTTTGTTTTTTTTAATTAAAAAAGCCTATGGCAGCCCCCTCATGTGACTGTCCTTTCCATTTATGGACCTATTAGGGCCAGGAATGCCCAGTTCCTCTTTCTGCTGTTAGTGTTTATTGGGCTTCACGTTGAGGACCACTGGATTCATTCAGTCCAGTCTGTAAACGCTTAGGAGCACCTGCACGTGCGTGTAAGGTGCTGTCGCAGGAAGGAGCCCAGCGTGGCACAGACAGGCACCGTGTCTGCCCGTGTGGGGTGTAACATGTAGCCGGAAGACACACACGAGGTCATTGTGAAGTGTGGTGACTTCTATGAAGAGCACTGAGCACTGTGAGTGATTAACGGGACAGGGCAGGCTCTCTTGAGGAAGTCACCCTCACCCTGGAAGGTAGGGGAAGAATAAGGGAGAAGAACGTTCCAGAGGTGATGACTCTGAGTGTAGAAAGCAGTAAGAAAGTTGGGGAATAGTTTCATAAAGGCAGGGCCCCCCGCCCCCTTGGAACAAGTCCAGAGATACATCATGTTTCATCCATGTTTAGATTACGCGTGATAATCGGACTGGTTCAACTGGATTTGGCCTTTTACTGATGAATGGAAAGGTTTGTCTCTAAAGATTGGACTTGAGCACATGACTTCAGAGGCCCTGAAGTAAATGCAAGGCCTGCTGTGAGTCAACACCCTTGGGCCTCTTGAGAACATAATTATACTTTATGGGGGGCATGAGTTGGGGACTGAAAAAAATTGGAATTCATTCAACAAATACTTGTTAAACACTTCCTACATGCCAGCCACTGTTCCAGGTGTTAGGGAACTAATCCTCATTCTCCTGGAGCCTGTGTTCCAGAGGAGAAGAGGCGAGAAGTGCGCACGCGCACCCATTACATAAGGTGATATAAGTGCTTCTGTGGAGTAACGGCCCTTCTTCACTGTTTGAAAATTACTTGCTCTTTAGATTAAAAATGTATAATTTCAGAAAGTAATAGTATCTTCTAATATATATGTTAGTTTTTTTGGCTTGTGTCATGATTTTTTAATTTTTTATTTATTTATTTTTTAAGAGTTTATTTATTTATTTGACAGAGAGAGACACAGAGAGACAGGGAACACAAGCAGGGGGAGTGGGAGAGGGAGGAGCAGGCTCCCCGCTGAGCAGAGAGCCCGACGCAGGGCTTGATCCCAGGACCTCGGGATCATGACCTGAGCTGAAGGCAGATGCTTAACGACTGAGCCACCCAGGCGCCCTTGTGTCATGATTTTAAAATTAGGTCTATCAGACTGTGCCAACCAAAGCTCTATCACTGTTGTGGCATCAAGTTGTTACATTGTAACATGCGTGTCACTTTTGATGTGGCTTCTCACATTCCTATGTCATAAACACTTAATTTGCAGCACGAATACACTTATTTTCACAAAACCGTTTATTTTGCAGTGCATTTGCACACAAATGAATTTAATGGATACAAATGAATACATGGGGGATTGTGAATAATAGCATATGAATTTATGTCGGTAGAAATGTGAGGGTTTGAAGGATGGTTCTCCTGGAAGAAGGAAGTGAGGGGACCTTGGGAGAAAAAGGTGATTAATTGAAATGGGATTCATTGAAATTAATAATTCACAAAATTATTTAAAGCACTGTGACAGTGTCTCAAGCACCAGCTTCTCAAATTGCACAATGTGTGCTTTATTTTGCAAACACGGGGTGCTGATACAATGAGTGTGTAATGGCACTTCAGGACCGAGGTCACACGGAAAAACTTGGAGCTTATGGATGGGTTCTTTGGTTCTCAGACTTTCTGTGGCTTCTCAGACTTTAATTTTACTCTATTTTTTTCCAACGACAGGAGAACTTAAAGCCATCTAAAGTAAATTCAACTGCTACCTTTTAATAAAGCTGGATATACAGTATTTAAAATACAACATCAGACCTTAAGCTTGTTAATTTTATAAGGAAGCCAGCAAAGGGACAACTAGTTAAAGGTCCCCAAACCATTTCAACTTTGTGTTTGTTTTCTCCAAATCTTTGTCTCCATACAGTCACAGACACACATTTCCCCCTACCTGCTTCCAAAGGCTTTGGCTCTTTGGAGTCAGCGAGCTTATTAGGTAATGGTGACAAACGCCAAACAAATAAATTAATGAGCTGGGTGCTGTGCTAGTTTTCATTAGTGATCTCTTTCATCTTTGTCACAGCCCCATGAGGTAGGTAATTCTGTTCCTTTTTATGGAAGAGGCCTGGAGAAATGGCCTGTCTAAGCTAGTCCACGGCCGGGGCTCGAACACATGCTTGTGTAGCAACAAGGGCAAGAGGAGGACCTGGTTCGCTTAGTCCCCAGGCTAGGGTGGCCTCCCTGGTACCAGACATTCTGGAAAATCACTCTTCAGTTTACGACGTACACGCGCATCGCCACCACTGAAGACTTCGTTGCGACTCGCCTGTCCCTGCTGGCGCTAACACCAGTAGACCTGCAGGACGGTTGTGGCGACCGCAACACCGTGCATCATTTTATTTAATCCCAGGACACAGCGTGCCCCGTGGTAGCCCGTCAGCTGTCATTGGAAACAGGATTGCGGCCCAGGTCTGTTGACTGCAACCCGAGATGATGACCAAAAGGCTGCAAGATCCCTTTGTATCTGAGATGCAGCCTGTGGCCCGCTGTAATCTGTAAGGCACTAAGGAAGAGTCGTCTGGGGGATGAGCGCCCCCTGCTGGCTCTGCATCATGTACAAACCAGACGGCAGCGTTGCCCCCCAAATCGGGGGTTGTTTACATTGGTGGAAAACCAGCAAGTCAGTCCCTCTGTTACCTCTGGCACCACTTGAAGCTAAGAGAAAAACAGCAGAGGGTGAGGAAAGGAAGGAAGAATCTAAACAACAGAGACTATTTTAGAAGTGGTTAGTAATGCTTGGGAATAACGCTTTTCTACATGATTTCAGTGTTACATATCAAAGGACTTGAAGTGTTGAGTGCAAGAACCTCCACCCAGGGTGGGCCATTTAAAAGCACCTTGCCTGAAATGTGGCCAAGTTAGGCAGCTGCTCCTTCAGGCCGATGAAAATATGGGCTCTGCGTGTGTGCATGGGGAGTGGTTTTCCTGATAAAGCCTAGCAGCCTT